GAGATCCCGATATGTGCATGCCATACTCCTGCCACGCCTCGCTGACGAACTCTGTCTGTGAGCATGTGGGCGCGAAAGTAACTCTGCATAGACGACGGGCGCGACAACGACGACGACGACTAAGACGACAGCGACAGGCTTCGGTGACGCCCTCCTTCTCTGGACATATTGCAGGAGAGATGAGCTCAGAGGGAAACACAAATGAAAGAGCGAGGGGGGACTCCTCTTGCCATTCTCGCCGCGGCCACTCAAGCAAACGCGCATGACGCTGAGAGAAAATATTCCGCTCGTCTCTTCAGTTGCCCGCGACCAAAAATCACCATCGGAATGTGCCATCGGGCGAGATCGTCCGCATTTAGCATCGGGCCGGGCATGACAGAGCGCGAGGGGAATTGGAAAGGAAACAAATAAAACGCACTTGGCTTCGGGCTGGCAATCCGGGGGCCCTCACGCAGTGGCAGTGGAAAAGTCATCGGGCTGCTATGTTGAGTTAGTTCCAGCATGGCCGTCCTCACATGGCATCGGGCCACAGAGGACGTGGGTCGCTGTTCTTTTTGTTGGTGGCATCACCCCGTACTTGTCGGCAAGCAGAACGGCTCTCGTCACCGTGGACCTCTCGGGAATCTCGGAAAGTTTGGGAGCCTTCCTCACGGCCTCTGGCGAACCTCTTTCCAGCAACTCGCGAAGAGGCGGCCGCAACAGCAGCATGTCTGTCATCCCGGGGCGCGTGTGAACATCACATACGGACCAGCGTCTCGCCTGAGACAAGCACCTTGTCTGAGACATCCCCACATTCTGCTTGGAGAGCACACAAATCCAAAGACAAGACTGGGGGGGGCGAAACAGGCAAACCGCCTGAGACGCCCCGGAAATCCAGACGCGAAGATTGGAATCCCCGCTCCTGGCAGCTCCCCCTTGGAGAGCCCAAATTCCACGCCTGACACACCGCGGCGAGCAATCGACCCGGAAAAAAGAAAGGCCTTGGAGAGCCATCGAAACAAGCAAACCGCCTGAGACACCCCCGCGGTCTGGACACGACATTTGAAATATCTCCACCACAAGTGGCTCCCCCTCGGGGTGCCCAAATGCCACGCCTGTTACACCGCGGTGAACAGTCGACCATGAAAAAAGAAAAACCTACGGGGCCGAAACAAGCAAACCGCTTGGGACATTCCCACAAACTGGGCGCGAAACTTGGAGTGCCCCCGCCCCTGGCGGTTCCCCCTTGGGTGTCCAAATGCCACACGTGATACATCGCGGTGAGCATTGGACCACCCAGAGACAGAAGAAGACAACAAGCCCGAAACAAACAAACCGGTTCCAACATCTCCACAATCTGGACGGCACTTATGGATTATCCCCACCTCTGGCGGGTCTCCCTTGGGGTGCCCGAAACCCACGCCTGCTATATCGCGGTGAATACTGGACCACGAGAAGAGAAAAGCCTGGGGGGCGAAACAAGAAAACCACCCGAGACGCCCCCACAGTCTAAAACCGACTGCGAGAGTGCCACCACCCCTGGGGGCTCCCCGTTGGGGTGCCCGCGTGCCACGCTTGCTCTATCGCGGTAAGTATTGGACCACCAAGAGCAGGAAGCCCGGGGGGGCGCAACAAGCAAACCGCCTGAGACGACACAACAACATGGGCACGACTTCTGAGGTGTCCCCACCCCTGGCGGCTCCCCCTTGGGGTGTCCAAGTGCCACGCATGCTAGATCGCGGTGGCCACATGTGTGTGAGTCTTCGTGCGACTGAATATGAGCGTGAGTAATACGAGCGTCAGCGCATCTGAGTGTCAATAAGTCCAGGCATGATTGAATCTGAAGGAACGAGTATGAGTACGAGTGGATCTAGCAAGAGTAAGTCTGAGTGCGCGTGAGTCTGAGTGTGAGTGACTCTGCGTGTTAAGCCTGATGGGTACGAGTCTTAGTATGAGTGGCCTGTGTACGAGCGGATCGTAGCATGAGTGAGTCGGAGGTTGGGTGAGTTTGAGTATGAGTGAGAGTGATTGCGAGCGAACCTGAACGCGAAAGGGTCAAAACGTGTGTGAGCAAGCACGACTGAATCGGATTACGAGCGGGTATGAGTGCGAGCGGCTCTGAGCGCGATCGGTCTGAGTATGAGTTTGTGTGAATGATTCTCACGGTGAGAGCGAATGAATATGAGTGTGAGAGAGTCTGAGTAAGTGTGCGTGAATGATATGAATAAAACATGATCGGAGCATAGTTGGGACAGAGTGCGAAGAATGCCCCAGTCTCAGGACATTTGGAATCAGGGGGAGAAGGAAGAGGAAGGAGCGGGAGGAGTCGGAGGCGTCTGTACTATAATTATTCGACGCGGGGATCCCCACATGGGTACCCCTTCTTCCTGGCACATCTAGCTGAGTTTTCGTCGGCGAGAGTGAGTCTGAATGGATGACGACGACGACAACGACGACATCAATGATAGCCAACGAAGACAGCGGAAACTGGTGTGGGAGTCCCCTGGACCCCAAAAAAACCTTCCAAAAGAACACAAACAACAACTAGCCCGGGAGGGGGGGGAGAGTGGGCGTTTGTTTTGTGTGTGTGCGTGTGCGTATGCGTGTGCGTGTGCGTGTGCGTGTGCGGGTGCGTGTGCGTGGGCGTGTGCGTGTGCGTGTCGTGTGCGTGTGCGTGTGCGTGTGCGTGTGCGTGTGCGTGTGCGTGTGCAGGTGCGTGTGCGTGTGCGGGTGCGGGTGCGGGTGCGTGTGCGGGTGCGGGTGCGGGTGCGGGTGCGGGTGCGAGTGCGGGTGCGGGTGCGAGTGCGGGTGCGGGTGCGGGTGCGGGTGCGGGTGCGGGTGCGGGTGCGGGTGCGGGTGCGGGTGCGGGTGCGGTGCGGGTGCGGGTGCGGGTGCGGGTGCGTGTGCGGTGCGTGTGGGTGCGTGTGCGTGTGCGTGTGCGTGTGCGTGTGCGTGTGCGTGCGGGTGCGGGTGCGGGTGCGTGTGCGTGTGCGTGTGCGTGTGCGTGTGCGTGTGCGTGTGCGTGTGCGTGTGCGTGTGCGTGTGCATGTGCGTGTGCGTGTGCGTGTGCGCGTGCGCGTGCGCGTGCCGTGTGCGTGTGCGTGTGCGTGTGCGTGTGTGCGTGTGCGTGTGCGTGTGCGTGTGCGTGTGCGTGTGCGTGTGCGTGTGCGTGTGCGTGTGCGTGTGCGTGTGCGTGTGCGTGTGCGTGTGCGTGTGCGTGTGCGTGTGCGTGTGCGTGTGCGTGTGCGTGCGTGTGCGTGTGCGTGTGCGTGTGCGTGTGCGTGTGCGTGTGCGTGTGCGTGCGTGCGTGTGCGTGTGCGTGTGCGTGTGCGTGTGCGTGTGCGTGTGCGTGTGCGTGTGCGTGTGTGCGTGTGCGTGCGTGTGCGTGTGCGTGTGCGTGTGCGTGTGCGTGTGCGTGTGCGGGTGCGTGTGCGTGTGCGTGTGCGTGTGCGTGTGCGTGTGCGTGTGCGTGTGCGTGTGCGTGTGCGTGTGCGTGTGCATGTGCGTGTGCGTGTGCGTGTGCGTGTGCGTGTGCGTGTGCGTGTGCGTGTGCATGTGCGTGTGCGTGTGCGTGTGTGCGTGTGTGTGTGTGTGTGTGTGCGTGGTGGTGGGGGGGGCGTCCGGGGGCCCACAATCAAACACCAAAGGCATACTTAAAAACATATTCTGAGAGAAAGAAGAATGGGTTTTTGCTCGAGGACCTCCCGGGGGGAACCAACAGAACCCCCCAAACGCAATTCGGGACCTCCCCCCAGGAACCCCCCTTTCGGGATGTTTCATGTTTTGTTTTTCCGAAAGTTGCTCGGTTATTTTTCTGGGGTTGTTCGAGATTGCTTCTATTGCTTTTCGAAGGTTCCCCTGACCCCTCTCCAACAAAAAAACTCACGGGGGGGTTGGGGTGGGGTTCCCCCCATACCCTCCAAAAAACAACAACCCTCAGGGAGGTTCTGAGAAGCCTTAGGGGGGTGTCCCCACCCGGGTGGTTCCCCCCCCCCCCCTCCGCCCCCGCAAAACCCCCTCTGAGGTAGGTTCTAGGACATGTTCGAAGGGTTTTTCCCCCCCCGACCCCCTCAAAAATCACCCCCATGGAAGTTCTTGAAGGGTTTGGGGGGGGTCCCCCTCGGACCCCTGAAGAAAACACCCCTTAGACAGTTTTGTTGGAAGGTTTAAAAGGCTTCCCATCCGGACCAGAATCTATTCCCCATCGGACCCCTCAAAAGCCTCCACCTCCGAATGCCCCAGGGACGCTTGGGGAGGGACCTCGTCTAGCAGCAGGTGGATCACGGCAGTGGGGATCGTTTGGTACCAAGGGTACTTCCTTAATCAACACGGGGAGGGGCCACAGCAGAGGGGCGCGTCTAGCACCAGGGATGTGCTTGTTAATCAGCTTGGAGAGGGACCCCGTCCAGCAGCGGGTGGCGCGCAGCAGAGGGACACGTCTAGTACCGAAGATGCTCCAATATTCTACTTGGGGAGGGGCCTCGTCTAGCAACGGGCGGTACACAGAGGGTACTTCCTCAATCAACCAGCGGCGCTCAGAGGGGGGGTAGGGAGGGGGGAAGGCTTCTTAGAAGCACCCCCACTTCTTAGAAGGCGCGAGTACTGTGTGTGAATTTACAGCCCGCGGCTTCTAAGAAGCAGCCTCCTTCTAAGAAGCCTTCCCCCTCCCCCTACCCCCCTTCTGCGCGCCGCCAAATCAACTTGGGGAGGGGCATGTCTAGCAGCGGGCCGGCTCGGGCATCTAGCAGCGGCTGGCGCAGGGCACAGGGGCACGCCTAAAACCAAGGATGCCTGCTTACCCGTCGGTCGGAAGAAGTAGGTAGAAACATGAAGCAAGAAGGCGTCGAAAATAGATTGGTTGTCCGCCCGCCCCCCAAGGAGGGCGGAAAAGGTGAAGCCACTCGATCATTGAAGTAGGAAGGCGCTTAAAGTAGATGGGACTCTGGGACTCCAAAAACACCTACTTTCAACGACCGATGGGTAATCAGCTTGGGTAGGGGGTCTCTTCTAGCAGAGGGTGGCGCATGGCACCGGGCACGTCGAGTACCAGAAGGATGTGTTCTGTCGGCCTGGACAGGGGCCTCGTCGAGACGCGGGTGGTGCACAGCAGAGGGGCACGTCTAGTGCCAAAGATGCTACCTTAATCAGCTTGGGGAGAGGCCGTGTCTGCCAGTAAGTGGTGCACGGCACACGGGCACGTCCAATACCAAGCTGTGCACAGCAGAGGGGCACGTCTAGCACCAATACGGATTTTGTTTAAGCGCCTTGGGAAGGGACATCGTCGAACAGCGGGCGCTGCGCAACAAAAGGGTACGTCTAGTACCAAGGATGCTGGTTCGTTGAAAAAGCGTTTGGTTGTCTGCGCGTTTTCCAATGTGCGCCCCAGCCGATCGTAACAGGGACTTCGTCGCAGAGGGCGGGCACAGCCTGCACTGCGTACCTGGTACGAATGCGCATTGCAGTTAGAACCTACAAACTCCTGGAAATGGCATACGACCAAGTCTCATACTTCACGCACGCACATTCCAACCCAGAAACGGGCCGGAGCAGGAGGAGATCTCATCGCATAAAACTGAAGGCTGGATAAGCACATTTACCATAATTCTGTAGCGGAGAAACTCTGCCTACTTTGAGGCCACGTGAGCAGTCGAACAGTTCAAGAAAGGTTACTATGACGCGAGCGTCGAGAGCCACACTAGTATGCATGTGGTACCCTGTACCGAATAAGCGCCGAGAGAAAAATGTGAGAGCGGTAATGCGGAAGTGCATCTAGGCCGTCGTGCACAATGTACCATGCACAGCGCAGGGCGCGCGCATACGTCATGCAAGACAGAAGTCTCGGACACCGAACAAAAAAATCAGACCGTGAAACGTTCCTCGGCCGCCGGCCCATCGTCCGTGGTAGCACACTCTGGTGTCCCTGCGGCGCTGGATGTAGTCCGTGTGGGGGGAGGAACCTCGTGCACGCTCGCCGATTCGACTTCGTCGAATGGCACGCGCAGGTCCTTCACGCTCACGCCGTGCACTGTCTGCTCGGCAGCACCAACCCGTATGTCGTAGCTGGCGTCCCTAACATCGAGGATCTCGGCTGGCAGCCATGTCTTTGTGGCGCCCGACCAATAATCCACCGTCTGCCCCTTGTGGAAGAACTCGTTGGAAGTGCTGGTTACCGAACCCATGTCGTTCGTAGCTGCCGTTGGAGCTGTATCGCTCGTCTGTCGAAGATTCCCGCCGCCGTCGTCGATTCCTCCTTCCCTCGTCCACAGGATGTTCGCCAGCATCGACATTTTGTACCTTCTCCGAGCCAGTCGGCACAGCAGGCACACACAGCAGAGGAGCGTGACAGAGAGCGCAACCGCCACGCCCGAGGCCTGCGCCTCGCAGCCCTCGCCCGTCACGGGATCTGGGCCGCCGGGGCAGCTCCAGTCGTAGGCGCACGATATGTACTGCTCGCAGGGCTCGGAGGCGGGCATGTACGACTCCATGGTGAATCCTGGGGCGGCGTTGGCGTTGCACAGGTCGACGGCGTCGCCCCCCCACGCGCCTAGGCACTCCACGGGGCGTGTGCGCACGCCCGGGCCGCAGAGGTTGCTGCACAACGTCCAGTCACCGAGGGCAACCCATCGCGCCACGGGAAGGGTGAAGCTGACCTGCGCGGGCGCCCCGACGACGAGCGTGGCCGCGGCGAGGCCAGGCAGGGCGCTGGTTCCGGAGCTTCTTAGGGCCGCGTCGAGCTCGTGGGTAAAGTTGCCCCCGCCCAGGGCGAGGATGCGATGCTCCAGGTCCGTCACGTTGTCAATCGGGTACGGCTGGAGCACGACCTCGAAGAACAGCCCCTGCGATGTCGTGAGGCGTCGCGCTGGCACGGCACGGCCCCAGTCGGAGGTCAGGTCCTTCTGCCCTTTCAGGAAGATCTGCCCCTGGAGCAGGCCTAAGGTTTTGCCGATCGAGCTCTTGAGTGCAGCCTCGCCTCCCGCACTTCTGGCCCACTCGGCGGTGAGGCCCGACTGGGACTCGTTGGTGGCGATTGTCATCTCAATGAGAAATGTGTCCACGACCTCGAGCGTCTCTGCGTGGTTGGAGGGTACACACATCAATGGCAGCTCGTCGAAGTGACCCTTGTTGCACTTCATTGGCTCGATCAGTTCGTACGAATCGTTGCATACTGGCGAGCAGCTTGTGCCGCTCGCAGTGCCGACGCAAGAAGAAGCACTGGCCACACCCAACATGTCTGGCACCGAGTCCGCGTAGCATGACTTCTCGGTGCAAGCTCCCGAGCCATTGACCCAGCTGTAACCCGCTGGGGCAGAGCAAACGATCTGGGCTGGGCCCCCCAGATTTTCGTAACCGTCGGAGCATGAGATGTTGCACACGTCCAGGTAGCTCATATTCACGCAGCCCGGATCCCAGAACTCATACCCGATCGGCAAATCTGGGCCACCGACGCACGCGCCCATCGGAAGCTCTGGGAGGCTCGTGGCAAGATCCGTCGTTGACGTATGTGTTGCCGTCGGTGGAGACCACAAGCGAATTTCTGGCATGGTTGCAACTACGGATGTTATAGTAGGCAGACCCATTTGCGCGACCACCACCTGGAGAGTCGAAGCGATGGCGCTGGTATCGTGGAACAGCTCAGTCAAGCGTGCTTCCTGCCTCTCAATGTCGGATCCCCCTACCAACAGAATGTAAGCAATTTCGTATGCGAGGCTGCTAAGTGCTCTCGCACCCCGTCCGCTGCGAGATACGCCTGCTTGATTGACGGTTACAGCGTCGATGACGACCAGCGACTCCGACGTGTTCAGATACGACGCAACGGCGCACTGTGCAGCGGCCGCAGCATCAGCTGTGGAGACGTTGGTGCCGAATGTAAGCCGAAGGGTACTGCGGATCTCGGACAAGCGCTCTATGGTGGCAGTCGCGGTCACAGACGTGGAGGATATGCTTGCACTTGAGGTCTCGGACGTCGTACTCGAAGTCGTGCTGGATGTCAGGGATGACGTACTTGCAGTCGAGGTCGACGTTCTAGACGTGGACGAGGCAGTCGTGCTTGAAGTCGCCGTTGTGGTGCCAGAGGTCTCTGTTGTCGATGATATTGTCGTGGAAATGGTGCCCGAACTAATTGTCAGCGAGGTGCTGGACGACATTGTCGCGCTGGAGGTCTTGCTTGTCATAGTCCCGGACTTGCTGGAAGTCTCGCTTGTCGAAATCTCAGTGGTTGTAGAGGACTCAGTGGTTGTAGACACAGTCGTTCTTGAAGACTTGGATGTGGTAGTTCCCGTCTTGGTAGAGGTCCTTGTTGGCGAGGTCCCTGTCGTAGTAGAGCTGTCGGAAGTTGCAGACACCGTCGTGGTAGAGGTCTTGGTTGTCGTGGTCCCAGTGGTGGTGGAACTCTGGGTGGTCCCCGTGGTGCTGGAGGTATCGGTTATTGTAGTCCCAGTCGTGCTAGAAATTGAGGTTTCGGATGACGTGCTCAAAGTCGTTGCAGACGTACCGGATGTCCTAGTCGCAGTCGTGGTGTAAGACTCAGTGTTCGTTGACACTGACATGCTCGACGTCTGTGTGCTCGATGTGACCGTCCTGCTAGATGTACCTGAAGTCATACTTGCAGTCGTGCCACTCATGGAGGTCGTGCTTGCAGTCGTAGTGGAAGTCTCCGATGTCGTTGACTCTGACTTGCTCGACGTCTGTGTGCTCGATGTGACCGTCCTGCTAGATGTACCTGAAGTCATACTTGCAGTCGTGCCACTCATGGAGGTCGTGCTTGCAGTCGTAGTGGAAATCTCCGATGTCGTTGACTCTGACTTGCTCGACGTCTCGGAAGTCACACTCCGAGTTGTGGCAGTGGAGCTGGAAGTCCCTGTTTTCGTTGATACTGTTGTGCTGGAGGTCTTCGATGCGGTGCTCACAGTCGTGAATGAAGTCAATGTTTTCGTTGACAGTGTCGAAATAGAGGTGCTCGATGTGACCGTCCAACTAGACGTATCTGAAGTCGTACTTGCAGTCGTGCCACTCATGGAGGTCGTGCTTGCAGTCGTAGTGGAAATCTCCGATGTCGTTGACTCTGACTTGCTCGACGTCTCGGAAGTCACACTCCGAGTTGTGGCAGAAGTTTCTGTTCCAGTTAGCACTGTCGTGCTGGAGGTGCCAGTGGAGCTGGAAGTCCCTGTTTTCGTTGATACTGTTGTGCTGGAGGTCTTCGATGCGGTGCTCACAGTCGTGAATGAAGTCAATGTTTTCGTTGACAGTGTCGAAATAGAGGTGCTCGATGTGACCGTCCAACTAGACGTATCTGAAGTCGTACTTGCAGTCGTGCCACTCATGGAGGTCGTGCTTGCAGTCGTAGTGGAAATCTCCGATGTCGTTGACTCTGACTTGCTCGACGTCTCGGAAGTCACACTCCGAGTTGTGGCAGAAGTTTCTGTTCCAGTTAGCACTGTCGTGCTGGAGGTGCCAGTGGAGCTGGAAGTCCCTGTTTTCGTTGATACTGTTGTGCTGGAGGTCATCGATGCGGTGCTCACAGTCGTGAATGACGCAGTAGTGCTGGTCACAGTGGTGCTGGTTGCGCTGGTGCTGCTCTGCGTGTCAGTGGTGCCACTTGTGCTGGTCTCAGTGCCATCTCCCGGTGGTATTGTACTAATGGCACCTGTCGTCTCCGCCACCAGGGTGGTCGATTCCTCGGGCGCGGTCGTGTCGCCAGTCGTCCCCGCCTGAGCTGTGCTGTCTCCGAGTGGTGTTGTACTGACGGCACCTGTCGTCTCCGCCACGGAAAAGGTCGACTCCTCGGGCGCTGTCGTAGCGGCGTCGCCAGCCGTCCCCGCCTGAACTGTGCTGTCTCCGAGCGGTGTTGTACTGACGGCACCTGTCGTCTCCGCCACGGAAAAGGTCGACTCCTCGGGCACTATCGTAGTGGCGCCACCAGTCGTCCCCTCCTGAACTATGCTGTCTCCGAGAGTCGTTGTACTGACGGCACCTGTCGTCTCCGCCACCAGGGTGGTCGACTCCTCGGGCACTGTCGTAGCGGCGTCGCCAGTCGTCCCCGCCTGAGCTGTGCTGTCTCCAGGTGGTGTTGTACTGACGGCACCTGTCGTCTCCGCCACGGAAAAGGTCGACTCCTCGGGCGCTGTCGTAGCGGCGTCACCAGTCGTCCCCACCTGAGCTGTGCTGTCTCCGAGTGTTGTTGTACTGACGGCACCTGTCGTCTCCGCCACCAGGGTGGTCGACTCCTCGGGCACTATCGTAGTGGCGTCACCAGTCGTCCCCTCCTGAACTGTGCTGTCTCCGAGAGTCGTTGTACTGACGGCCCCTGTCGTCTCCGCCACGGAGCTGATCGACTCCTCGGGCACTGTCGTAGCGGCGTCGCCAGTCGTCCCCGCCTGAGCTGTGCTGTCTCCAGGTGGTGTTGTACTGACGGCACCTGTCGTCTCCGCCACGGAAAAGGTCGACTCCTCGGGCGCTGTCGTAGCGGTGTCGCCAGTCGTCCCCAGCTGAGCTGTGCTGTCTCCGAGCGTTGTTGTACTGACGGCACCTGTCGTCTCCGCCACCAGGGTCGACTCCTCGGACGCTGTCGTAGCGGCGTCGCCAGCCGTCCCCTCCTGAGCTATGCTGTCTCCGAGTGTTGTTGTACTGACGGCACCTGTCGTCTCCGCAACGGGAAAGGTCGACTCCTCGGGCACTGTCGTAGTAGCGTCACCAGTCGTCCCCACCTGAACTGTGCTGTCTCCGAGCGTTGTTGTACTGACGGCACCTGTCGTCTCCTCCACCAGGGTGGTCGACTCCTCGGGCGCTGTAGTAGCGGCGTCGCCAGCCGTCCCCGCCTGAGCTGTGCTGTCTCCGAATGTTGTTGTACTGACGGCACCTGTCGTCTCCGCCACGGGAAAGGTCGACTCCTCGGGCACTGTCGTAGTAGCGTCACCAGTCGTCCCCATCTGAACTGTGCTGTCTCCGAGCGTTGTTGTACTGACGGCACCTGTCGTCTCCTCCACCGGGGTGGTCGACTCCTCGGGCGCTGTAGTAGCGGCGTCGCCAGCCGTCCCCTCCTGAACTGTGCTGTCTCCGAGAGTCGTTGTACTGACGGCCCCTGTCGTCTCCGCCACGGAAAAGGTCGACTCCTCGGGCGCTGTCGTAGCGGCGTCGTCAGCCGTCCCCGCCTGAGCTGTGCTGTCTCCAGGTGTTGTTGTACTGACGGCACCTGTCGTCTCCGCCACGGAAAAGGTCGACTCCTCGGGCGCTGTCGTAGCGGCGTCGTCAGCCGTCCCCGCCTGAGCTGTGCTGTCTCCAGGTGTTGTTGTACTGACGGCACCTGTCGTCTCCGCCACGGAAAAGGTCGACTCCTCGGGCGCTGTCGTAGCGGCGTCGTCAGCCGTCCCCGCCTGAGCTGTGCTGTCTCCAGGTGTTGTTGTACTGACGGCACCTGTCGTCTCCGCCACGGAAAAGGTCGACTCCTCGGGCGCTGTCGTAGCGGCGTCGTCAGCCGTCCCCGCCTGAGCTGTGCTGTCTCCAGGTGTTGTTGTACTGACGGCACCTGTCGTCTCCGCCACGGAAAAGGTCGACTCCTCGGGCGCTGTCGTAGCGGCGTCGTCAGCCGTCCCCGCCTGAGCTGTGCTGTCTCCAGGTGTTGTTGTACTGACGGCACCTGTCGTCTCCGCCACGGAAAAGGTCGACTCCTCGGGCACTGTTGTAGTGGCGTCACCAATTGTCCCCACCTGAACTGTGCTGTCTCCGGGCGGTGTTGTACTGACGGCACCTGCCGTCTCGGAAGCCACACTCCGAGTTGTGACAGAAGTTCCTGTTCCGGTTGGCACAGGGCTGCTGGTCGAGCTGGTCTTGCTCGTCAGAGAGGTGCTGGTTGCCGTTGCGCTGGTCTGGGTGGCACTCACGGTTGTCATGGTGGCAGTAACAATCTTCATTTCTGGTTGTGCAATATCGAAAGAAGATGCAGTCAAATTTATACCGCGCGACTGGAAAGTGGCTTGCATAGACGTTGTGAAATTAGCTGCATCATTGAAAATACTGCTTGTCACATTAAAGATTTGCTGGGCAGCATCGATGGGGGCGACTATCTCAATGTCGACACCATACGAGCTGGAAAGTCTCCTGGACGAGGGTGCGGACGCGTTAGCGACGACAGCTACAAACAACTGTTCCTCAGCTATATCATAGAAGTTCAATAGGTGAGACGTCACCGCAATTGTCACCTCCTCTTCGGAACCAGAGCTTTCAAACCACATGGAACTCGTTACGACGTAAAGCGGCGTAGTGGTGCTACTTGTGGTGGTACTGGAACTGGTCGCAGTGGAACTGGTCGCAGTCGTGTCGGAGGTCTTGGTTCTGGTCGAGGTGTCCGACATGCTTGTTTGTGTGTTTGTCATGCTAGATGTCTCAGATTTCGTGGTCACGGTATTGGTAGATGTGTCTGTTTTCGTTGACACAGTCGTACTATGAGGAATCGGATAGAGGAATCGGATGACGATCGCAGTCGTGGTTGAGGCCCCTGTTTTCGTTGACAGTGTCGTGGACAGTGTCTCCGTGGTCGAAAAGAAGGTCGTGGTGGTACTCGAACTGGTCGCAGTGGTGATGGTCGCAGTCGTGTCGGAGGTCTTGGTTCTGGTCGAGGTGTCCGACATGCTTGTTTGTGTGCTTGGCATGCTAGATGTATCAGATTTCGTGGTCACGGTATTGGTAGACGTATCTGTTTTCGTTGACACAGTCGTACTAGAGGAATCGGATGACGAGCTCGCAGTCGTGGTTGAGGCCTCTGTTTTCGTTGACAGTGTCGTGGACAGTGTGGTACTCGAACTGGTCGCAGTGGTGCTGGTCGCAGTCGTGTCGGAGGTCTTGGTTCTGGTCGAGGTGTCCGACATGCTCGTTTGCGTGTTTGTCATGCTAGATGTCTCAGATTTCGTGGTCACGGTATTGGTCGACGTATCTGTTTTCGTTGACACAGTCGTACTAGAGGAATCGGATGACGAGCTCGCAGTCGTGGTGGAACTCTCCGTTTGGCTGGAAGCCGTGCTCGTGGACGACTCCGTGGATGAGGTCGTCTGGGAGAAGGATGCCTGTTCCCCTTTGCAGACAAAGCGAACGTATGCGCCAAACGTGTGTGTAGTCGAAGATGAAGCAGATGTCGAAGTCGCAGTGCTGCTGGATGTCACGGACGTCGTAGACGCAGATGTGGAGAACGTCCCTGTAGTCGATGAGGTGCCAGAAGTCGTGCTCAAAGTTTTACTGGAGGTCTCACTTGTCGAGCTGGAGGTCTTGGTCGTCGTCGAGGTCGCTGTTGCCGATGACAATGTCGTGGAAGAAGTCTCAGATGTCGTACTCGCAGTCGTAGTGGAAGAACTCCCCGTGGTGGACGACACTGTTGATGTGCCGGACGCTGTGGTGATGGACGTCTCGGTTGATGTGGTCAGGCCATCGCAAGTGTCGAGCCAAATCTCGTAGGCATTTTGAGCATCCCTGTCGTAAAAATTGATGATATCACCGCCGCGGGTGAAGATACAGCCTCCGAGAGTTGTCCCGGGGACCAAGCTTATGAAGCTCTGCCCCCAATCTGCGACGCTTACCATTGAGTCGGCTGCAGTAAAGCAAGCCTCCTGGCGACGCGCTGTCGACGTCTCGTTGACGACATGGAAATACCATATGTGGCAAAGGTCTGGGTACTTGACGTTCTGAGGGTCGTATCTTTGGGTGGTTGTTGTCGCGGACGCACTCCATGTCGTCCTGGTAGTAGTCGTTGATAACTGGTCGGGCCCTTTGCAGACATATTGCTTACTGACGTCAGCAATGCCTGCGCTTCCGTCGCCGAAGAAGAGCACCCCGTACTGGAACACGCATGCAAACGGGCTGTTTACTGTCAGAGTTTCCGAGACGCTGTTGAGCTCCGTAACTCTGTCCTTCGCATCCTCGAAGCACTCAGTCGAGTCTCCGACCTCTTCATACCCCTGCGAAGCGCACGTTTCGCCAACTCCCAGCAAGACGTAATGCGGCGTAGTCGTCGCAGTTGTGGTGGAGCTGCCCGAAATGGAAGTCAGTGTCGTACTCGCAGTGGTCTCGGATGTCGTGCTCGCAGTGGTCGTAGTCGAGGTTCCCGACGTCGAAGAAACGGTCGTGCTCGAAGACACCGTCGCGGTACTGGTCTTGGACGTGGCGCTGGAAGACACGGTCGTGCTCGAAGTCTTGGATGACGTGCCAGTAGACAAGGAAGTGCTTGAAGACACCGTCGTGGTACTGGTCTTGGACGCCGTACTCGCAGTCGTGGTGGATGTCGCGGATGTCGTACTTACAGTTGAAATCGAGGTTCGGGATGTGGACGAGGCGGTCGTGCTTGAAGACACCGTTAAGGTATCGGAGGTCTCTGTTGCCGATGACAGTGTCGTGGAAGAGGTGACCGAAGTGCTAGAAGACATGGTCGTGCTAGAAGTCTCGGATACCGTGCTCCTGGTCGTAATAGAGGTCTCTGATGTCGTTGACATTGTCGAGCTGGATGTCGCGGATGTCGTAGTCAATGTCGTCGTCGAGGTCGCGGTTGCCGATGACGATGTCGTGGTAGAGGTCCCAGATGTCGTGCTCGCAGTCGTAGTGGAAGTCCGAGATGTCGTACTCTTGGTCGATGTAGAGGACATTGTCATGGAAGAGGTCTCTGTGATCGAAGATAGGGTCTTGCTTGAACTCCACGTGGTGGACGACACTGTTGATGTGCCGGACGCTGTGGTGATGGACGTCTCGGTTGATGTGGTCAGGCCATCGCAAGTGTCGAGCCAAATCTCGTAGGCATTTTGAGCATCCCTGTCGTAAAAATTGATGATATCACCGCCGCGGGTGAAGATACAGCCTCCGAGAGTTGTCCCGGGGACCAAGCTTATGAAGCTCTGCCCCCAATCTGCGACGCTTACCATTGATTCGGCTGCAGTAAAGCAATCCTCCTGGCGACGCGCTGTCGACGTCTCGTTGACGACATGGAAATACCATATGTGGCAAAGGTCTGGGTACTTGACGTTCTGAGGGTCGTATCTTTGGGTGGTTGTTGTCGCGGACGCACTCCATGTCGTCCCGGTAGTAGTCGTTGATAACTGGTCGGGCCCTTTGCAGACATATTGCTTACTGACGTCAGCAATGCCTGCGCTTCCGTCGCCGAAGAAGAGCACCCCGTACTGGAACACGCATGCAAACGGGCTGTTTACTGTCAGAGTTTCCGAGACGCTGTTGAGCTCCGTAACTCTGTCCTTCGCATCCTCGAAGCACTCAGTCGAGTCTCCGATCTCTTCATACCCCTGCGAAGCGCACGTTTCGCCAACTCCCAGCAAGACGTAATGCGGCGTAGTCGTCGCAGTTGTGGTGGAGCTGCCCGAAATGGAAGTCAGTGTCGTACTCGCAGTGGTCTCGGATGTCGTGCTCGCAGTGGTCGTAGTCGAGGTTCCCGACGTCGAAGAAACGGTCGTGCTCGAAGACACCGTCGCGGTACTGGTCTTGGACGTGGCGCTGGAAGACACGGTCGTGCTCGAAGTCTTGGATGACGTGCCAGTAGACAAGGAAGTGCTTGAAGACACCGTCGTGGTACTGGTCTTGGACGCCGTACTCGCAGTCGTGGTGGATGTCGCGGATGTCGTACTTACAGTTGAAATCGAGGTTCGGGATGTGGACGAGGCGGTCGTGCTTGAAGACACCGTTAAGGTATCGGAGGTCTCTGTTGCCGATGACAGTGTCGTGGAAGAGGTGACCGAAGTGCTAGAAGACATGGTCGTGCTAGAAGTCTCGGATACCGTGCTCCTGGTCGTAATAGAGGTCTCTGATGTCGTTGACATTGTCGAGCTGGATGTCGCGGATGTCGTAGTCAATGTCGTCGTCGAGGTCGCGGTTGCCGATGACGATGTCGTGGTAGAGGTCCCAGATGTCGTGCTCGCAGTCGTAGTGGAAGTCCGAGATGTCGTACTCTTGGTCGATGTAGAGGACATTGTCATGGAAGAGGTCTCTGTGATCGAAGATAGGGTCTTGCTTGAACTCCACGTGGTGGACGACACTGTTGATGTGCCGGACGCTGTGGTGATGGACGTCTCGGTTGATGTGGTCAGGCCATCGCAAGTGTCGAGCCAAATCTCGTAGGCATTTTGAGCATCCCTGTCGTAAAAATTGATGATATCACCGCCGCGGGTGAAGATACAGCCTCCGAGAGTTGTCCCGGGGACCAAGCTTATGAAGCTCTGCCCCCAATCTGCGACGCTTACCATTGAGTCGGCTGCAGTAAAGCAAGCCTCCTGGCGACGCGCTGTCGACGTCTCGTTGACGACATGGAAATACCATATGTGGCAAAGGTCTGGGTACTTGACGTTCTGAGGGTCGTATCTTTGGGTGGTTGTTGTCGCGGACGCACTCCATGTCGTCCCGGTAGTAGTCGTTGATAACTGGTCGGGCCCTTTGCAGACATATTGCTTACTGACGTCAGCAATGCCTGCGCTTCCGTCGCCGAAGAAGAGCACCCCGTACTGGAACACGCATGCAAACGGGCTGTTTACTGTCAGAGTTTCCGAGACGCTGTTGAGCTCCGCAACTCTGTCCTTCGCATCCTCGAAGCACTCAGTCGAGTCTCCGATCTCTTCATACCCCTGCGAAGCGCACGTTTCGCCAACTCCCAGCAAGACGTAATGCGGCGTAGTCGTCGCAGTTGTGGTGGAGCTGCCCGAAATGGAAGTCAGTGTCGTACTCGCAGTGGTCTCGGATGTCGTGCTCGCAGTGGTCGTAGTCGAGGTTCCCGACGTCGAAGAAACGGTCGTGCTCGAAGACACCGTCGCGGTACTGGTCTTGGACGTGGCGCTGGAAGACACGGTCGTGCTCGAAGTCTTGGATGACGTGCCAGTAGACAAGGAAGTGCTTGAAGACACCGTCGTGGTACTGGTCTTGGACGCCGTACTCGCAGTCGTGGTGGATGTCGCGGATGTCGTACTTACAGTTGAAATCGAGGTTCGGGATGTGGACGAGGCGGTCGTGCTTGAAGACACCGTTAAGGTATCGGAGGTCTCTGTTGCCGATGACAGTGTCGTGGAAGAGGTGACCGAAGTGCTAGAAGACATGGTCGTGCTAGAAGTCTCGGATACCGTGCTCCTGGTCGTAATAGAGGTCTCTGATGTCGTTGACATTGTCGAGCTGGATGTCGCGGATGTCGTAGTCAATGTCGTCGTCGAGGTCGCGGTTGCCGATGACGATGTCGTGGTAGAGGTCCCAGATGTCGTGCTCGCAGTCGTAGTGGAAGTCCGAGATGTCGTACTCTTGGTCGATGTAGAGGACATTGTCATGGAAGAGGTCTCTGTGATCGAAGATAGGGTCTTGCTTGAACTCCACGTGGTGGACGACACTGTTGATGTGCCGGACGCTGTGGTGATGGACGTCTCGGTTGATGTGGTCAGGCCATCGCAAGTGTCGAGCCAAATCTCGTAGGCATTTTGAGCATCCCTGTCGTAAAAATTGATGATATCACCGCCGCGGGTGAAGATACAGCCTCCGAGAGTTGTCCCGGGGACCAAGCTTATGAAGCTCTGCCCCCAATCTGCGACGCTTACCATTGAGTCGGCTGCAGTAAAGCAAGCCTCCTGGCGACGCGCTGTCGACGTCTCGTTGACGACATGGAAATACCATATGTGGCAAAGGTCTGGGTACTTGACGTTCTGAGGGTCGTATCTTTGGGTGGTTGTTGTCGCGGACGCACTCCATGTCGTCCCGGTAGTAGTCGTTGATAACTGGTCGGGCCCTTTGCAGACATATTGCTTACTGACGTCAGCAATGCCTGCGCTTCCGTCGCCGAAGAAGAGCACCCCGTACTGGAACACGCATGCAAACGGGCTGTTTACTGTCAGAGTTTCCGAGACGCTGTTGAGCTCCGTAACTCTGTCCTTCGCATCCTCGAAGCACTCAGTCGAGTCTCCGATCTCTTCATACCCCTGCGAAGCGCACGTTTCGCCAACTCCCAGCAAGACGTAATGCGGCGTAGTCGTCGCAGTTGTGGTGGAGCTGCCCGAAATGGAAGTCAGTGTCGTACTCGCAGTGGTCTCGGATGTCGTGCTCGCAGTGGTCGTAGTCGAGGTTCCCGACGTCGAAGAAACGGTCGTGCTCGAAGACACCGTCGCGGTACTGGTCTTGGACGTGGCGCTGGAAGACACGGTCGTGCTCGAAGTCTTGGATGTCGTAGTCAGAGTCGTGCTTGAGGTCTCTGAGCTCGTTGACACGCTCTTGGTGGAGGTCTCGGATGTCGTACTCCCAGTGGTCGACGAGCTTCCAGACATTGTAGATACAGACGTGGAGGACACTGTCGTGCTGGATGTCTCGGATGTCGTACTTGCAGTTGTGGTGGAGGTCTGTGATTGTGTAACTCCGTCGCCGAACCAAAGCTTCCCGTACTGAAACACACAAGAGAACGGGCCACTTATGTCCTCAGTGTCAACACCCGCGATCTCCTCGATGCTACGAGTTGCCTCATTGAAACACTCCGCCGGATCTGAGATCTCCTCGTATCCCTCGGACGCACACGTCTCGCCAAGTGCCAACAAAACGTAATTGGTTGGGCTTGTCGTGGTCTCGGTTGTCGTAGATCCAGCCGTCGTAGAGATGGCCTCGAGTCTTCTGGCGTCTACACTACCGCCCTGCCAACGCCACGTAGCCGATGCTGAAGATGAAGCCACAGCGGTACGGTCAGCAGGCCAGGCGGCCGCCGCGGCGCAGGCGAACCCCCATAGCATGCTCCGTGAAAAGATCCATGTTCGCACAGAGTGCATCGCGCTCTCTGCAACCCCTGCTGAGCTCCTGGCTGCTTGAGCGAAAAACTTGAGCCAAGATGACAGGTGCCATCAGCCGACGGCGGCGCACGGAAGAGGGGCACGTCCAGTACCAAGATATGTTTAATCAACTTGGGGAGGGGCCTCGTGTAACAGCGGGCGGTGCACAGCAGAGGGGCACGTCTACTATCGAGAAGGATTTTAAACCGATCGGGAAAGGGCCTCGTCTAGCAGCGGCTGGCGCACGGCACAAAAGCACGTCCAGTACAAAAGATATGTTTAACGCCTTGGGAAAAAGAGGCCTCCTCTGGCAGCGGTTGGCGCGCGGCACAGGGGCACGCCTAGTACCAAGGATGTCTGTGAATCAGCTTATGGAAGGGGGCTCGTCGAGCAGCGGATGCTGAACAGCAGAGGGGCACGTCTAGTACCAGTGATTCCCCACATCCTGAGTGGGGGTATTGTTATCCTAAAACGCCCTCTCCTTCTCCTGCTCCTCATTATCCTTCTCCTTCACCCGCCTCCCTACTATACCACACCAGTGAGTTCCATACCAAAACCATGCCTACCTACAATACCATACCTACCATACCACACCTACCATCCCATCCCTATCATCCCATACCATACCATACATACCATGCATACCATACCAAATCTACCATACCATACCGTACTTTCCTGATCATGCCATACTATACCACACCTGCCATATCATACCATACCGTACCATATCATACCGTGCGATGCCATGCCATATTATACCATACAATGTCGTACCATACCATACCACACCTACCACACCATACCACACATACCATACCAACGCTACCATACCATACCTACCACTCCAGGGAGGCCCCGCCTGAGCGCGGACAGCACCGGGATGCCATACTACTTACAAAGTTTCGCGCCCATCCCATCCCTCCAGGAAGGCCCCGCCTGAGCGAGGAGGGGATTGTGAAACCATGTTATGTGTCAGGGTTCGTGCCCATCCCACTCCTCCAGGGAGGCCCCGCCTGAGCGAGGAGGGCATTCGAAAACCATGATACGTATCAGGTGTCGTGACCCTCCCACTCCGCCAGGGAGGGCCCGCCTGAGCGAAGAGGGTATTCGAAAATCAATGTATGTATCAGGTGTCGCCCCCCCCCCCCCAACACTCCTCCAGGGAGGCCTTTCCTAAGCGAGGAGGGTATCCGAAAACTATGTTATCTATCAGGCTGCGTCCCCATCCCACTCCTCCAGGGAGGGCCCGCCTGAGCCAGGAGAGTATTCGAAAACCATGCTATGTATCAGGCCTCGTGCCCCTCCCACTCCTCCAGGGAGGCCTTTCCTGAGCGAGGAGGGTATTCGAAAACCATGATACGTATCAGGTTTCGTGCCCCTCCCATTCCGCCAGGGAGGCCTTTCCTGAACGAGGAGGGTAATCGAAATCCATGTTATACTCTTGCACAGGGTGTCTAAAGCTCCGACCACTTTATTTCGGCGTCGTCGTCGCTCCCCCCAGCTGCTTTGTGCCCTTCATGTGTCGCTATATGTGTCGCTGTGTGCCTTGTGCCCTTCATGTGCCGCTATATGTGTCGCTATATGTGTCTGTGTCGCTGTGTGTCGCTATGCGTCTCCATGTGTGCGTCGCCATGTGTCGCTGTGTGTCGCTATGCGTCGATATGTGTGTGTGTGTGTCGATACATGTCTCTATATGTCGAAATGTGTCGGCATGTGTCGCTACGTGTCGCTCCCCAGCACCCCAGTGCACCGCCCCCTCCGCCCCGACGACTTTATTTCGGCGTCGTCGTCGCTCCCCCCCCCTCTCCTTCTCCTCAGCAGCCCAGCGCGCTGCCCCCTCCGCCCCGACCACTCGATTTCGGCGTTGTGTCGACATGTGTCGCTATGTGTCGCTCCCCAGCACCCCAGCGCACCGCCCCCTCCGCCCCGACGGCTTTATTTCGGCGTCGTCGTCGCCCCCCCCTCTCCCTCCCGTCAGCAGCCCAGCGCGCCCCCCTCCGCCCCGACCACTTTCCGGCGTCGCGTCGCTCCCCAGCCCTCTCCGCCCCGACCACTTTATTTCGGCGTCGTCGTCGCCCCCCCCCCCTCCCCCTCTCCCCAGCAGCCCAGCGCGCCGCCCCCTTCGCCCCGACCGCTCTATTTCGGCGTCGTCCGTCGCCCACCCCCGCCCCTTCTCCAGCCAGCCAGCCCCCGCGCACCGCCCCCTCCGACCCCCGACGGCGATTTTATGTCGGCGTCGTCGTCGCCCCCCCCCCCCCCCTTCCCCCTCTCCTCAGCAGCCCAGCGAGCCGCTCGCGCTGCCCCCTGCGCCCCGACCACTTTATTTCGGCGTCGTCGTCGCCCTCCCACCCACCCCTTCTCCCCAGCAGCCCAGCGCGCCGCCCCCTTCGCCCCGACCAGTTTATTTCGGCGTCGTCGTCGCCCCCCCCCTCCCCTTCTCCCCAGCAGCCCAGCCCAGCGCACCGCCCCCTCCGCCCCGACCACTTTATTTCGGCGTCGTCGTCGCCCCCCCCTCTCTCCCTCTCCTCAGCAGCCCAGCGCGCTGCCCCCTCCGCCCCGACCACTTTATTTCGGCGTTGTGTTATCGACATCCCCCTCGCCCGACGACTGTGTCGACATGTGTCGCTTTCGCGCACCGCCCTCTCCGCCCCGACCGCTTTATTTCGGCGTCGCCCCCTCCCTCCCCCTCTCTTTCCTCAGCAGTCGGGGCGTGCCCCTGCGCCGACCACTTAATTCGGCGTTCGCGTCGCCCCCCCCCCATTGCCTCCCTCTCCTCAGCAGCCCAGCGCGCTGCCCCCTCCGCCCCGACCACTTTATTTCGGCGTCGTCGTCGCCCCCCCCCTGTCCTTTTCCCCGGCAGCCCAGCGTGCCGCCCTCTCCGCCCCGACCACTTTATTTCGGCGTCGTCGTCGCCCCCCCCCCCCCATCCTCCTCTCCCCAGCAGCCCAGCGCGACGCCCCCTTCGCCCCGACCAATTTTTTCTCTTGCACAGCTGTGCTCTAGAGCTCGGACCTCTTTATTTTCGTTCGTTCGTCGTCGTCCCCGGCCCCTGCTCCGGTCCCGACCCTGGACCCAACCTCCCCACCCCGTCCTGGCCTCAGCCCCCCTCGCCCCGCTGGCCCTGGCCCTGGACCCAGCCTCCCCCCCATCCGGCCTTGGCCCCAGTCCCCCTCGCCCTGGACCCTTTATTTTCGCTCGTCGTCGTCCCTGGTCCGGTCCTGGCCCTGGACCCAACCTCCCCTGGCCCTGGCCCCCCGCCCCCCTTGCCCCGCTGGCCCTGGCCCTGGACCCAGCCTCCCCCCCCGGCCCTGGCCCCAGTCCCCCTCGCCCTGGACCCTTTGTTATCTTGCGCAGCTGTGTTCTAGAGCTCGGACCTCTTTATTTTCGCTCGTCGTCGTCGTTCGTTCGTCGTTCGTCCTCCCCCCGGCGGCCACAAAAATAAACTCCTGGAGGAAGGAGGCGAAAGCCTCCTGTCTCTCGCGGCTCCTTAGTGCAAGAGCCAGGGCACGCGTGCCACTTGTTTGCCCGTCTGGGACGTTGTGAAAACCGAATAGGCGAGCATGCCAAACACATGTTTGTTTGTTCGAAGGGAATGGGGCGACTTTTGTTTCTTGGGG